GAAAGAAAACCATTAATTCTGTGACAATCAACGAGGAATCTCGTTGCTGAACATCGCCGAAAAGACTTTCGTCCGTGTTCGCTTAAACTGTCTTCACAGACAGGTGGTACACGGTCTCCTGCTTGAAAGCCAGTGTGCTTTCAACCGTCATCACGACACCGCCGAAATGATCTTCGCCGCGCTGTGGGTGCTCGTCACCAAGGTGGACAAAAGAGACCTTCCAAGGACACCATGAAGTACATTTGAATCAACAGGACGACCTGGGAGGCTCTCACCGAAGACCGATCGGTTTGGAGAAGAGCAGTGAAAATTAGAGCAGGTCCTCTACGAAGCCAGCCGGTTCGCCAAGACCAAAAGGGCAGCCCGCAAATAACAAACGCAACGGACCAATACAACCAACGCCCAAGCCCTCGAACCTGCTCACGCATCATCTTGATCGGACACCTACACTGGCAATGCAATAAACATCCGTCGTCATCTAGCTCCCCAGGACGAAATACCCCCACAATCCCATCTGCTTCCAGCACTCCAACGACGATCGCCCTCACAACGGACCGTCAACCATCCGCTGCCCCGCCGACACAATCCTCCCCGCGGCGATCCCCACATTGATCACAGCGGAGAACACTACAGCCCTCAATTTAACCACCCTTTTCTTTATGACACTTTGTACCACCACCGTGATAGTGGAATTAACCACGATGCCAACATACCTATGTTAGAAATTCCGCTATTCTCATGACGAGTCACACAAAAAGGCATCGCGCGAACCATCTGGCTGCCGGCCAGCATGTCTCTCCAATTCTGATTTGCCCATTGATTTAGCTATGTCTCTCGCCTTAAGTACATTCAGCCTTTGTGTGAGAACGACTTGCTGTGACGTGCTTAGCCTGGGTACACGCTGTCTCGTGCTCGCTGATCTTCTCTGTCTTTCGCTCGTACCGGGCTGTGGAAACCGTGGTCGACTAACTCACCGTTCGTGTTAATTACTAGTACCAGGTGAGTGTCGTAACAACCTAGCACACCCATAGACAATTCAAGCCCAAGCCCTTCGACCGGCGTGACCACCACAACGAACAATAACAACACCAGCGCTTAAACAC